CACCTGCCTTTGCCTTTGAAATTTCCAGTCTTAAACATTGAATGTTTAGCCAAACACGGCTAAAAATTGAATTCAAAATATATCTTTAGTTCCAATAGTCATATTAAAGCAAAACAATTGTTGGATCTGGATTAGATCAAGCTATATTACTACTATTTATAATTAAATAGTAAGTAATTTGGCCTAGAGGTGCCATCTCGTATTAAATTAATATATAATATAGTCCGAATCTATAAAATAATATAATCTAGCCCAATCTAATCCAGTAATTATTTGGCTTTAAAATTTGAATTATTTATAGACTAGAATTATGTAAATTACTAATTATATTAAGGGAATTGTATAAAGGTATAAAGGTAGATGGTCAAATCAATTATTTTAGATCATAAACAATCCAGAATTTAGATTTTTGAAAGATCTTTGTTTATTGTAAGGATGTTCATCATCATTATATTCAATTCACTCCATATTTTAGTAGAAGTCAACTGTAAAATTCAATTCCAGTTATGTTTACCATACATTAATTGCATGTTAATCTATATATATAAAAATGAATGTGTGTGTGTGTGTGTGTGTGTGTGTCCTTCATGCATTACCCCCGTTTATCCGATTGCCGTGAAACTTTGAGAAGTTGTTTAATATACTCCCATGAAGGTTTCTGGCATTTATCCTACGATAGATGGTGCGCGTTTACACAAGCATTCGAGCACTGTGTGTTCGATCGATTTCAAATTGTGAAGACCATTTCCCCCTCCATAAAATATCTGTATATATGCATTTATTATTTACGGATATTTGTAATAATTTTTGTTTAATCACTTTATCTCAACTTTTTTTTTCCTAATTACGTAATCGCTCGAACTTTGTTAAAACCTTAACTGTATCCCGAACAACAACCGAAGTTGTAGAAGGAAATTCGCCTATTTTACCGATCTGGGGATCCCCCTTTTCCAAATTTTAATATCGACTCAAAATAATTTAAAAAGACAAATTACAATGAAACGGTTTATTATCCAACTATGAGAAATTTCACAACATGCCAAGGAAGAGAGGAAGGAGCAATTAAATAATCAAAATTATAAAGGATTAAAAAATATATATATAAAAATGGGGAATACTGCACTTCTAACAATCTCTGCGAGTATGTGGGATAAATTTAAAGAAACCGTGCTTCTCACATGGACAACTGTATGTGGCCAACTCACGCGTCAGAAAACCTAATTTATTCGTGTACGCACCAGATGGAAAAACAAAAAATATCGTGTATCCACAAAGCACTCCAATAAATAAATAAATAAAATTGAAACGACACTTTGAAATGTTTTCCCGATGAAAATGAATAATAATAATAATAAGTTTCAATAAAAATGATAAAATGTAAACTTAATTTTATCACAACGAGTTTGCTTGAATTTCATTTCTTCTGAGATTGCAGCAATGCGCGACAGATAAGCTACAGATATAGTCACCATAAAGAGGTAATATTGTTAGTTTCTTTATATTTTTTGCATAAATTGTAGATATTATACAAAATAAACTTGATAGAAGCAATGAGAATAGCTATATTTTGATTTATTATAAAATTATTTTAATAAATTTCACAAAAATTTATGTATTTTTAGTTTAAAAGTAAGCAAGCAAATTTATTGATGTTGTAACAACTGTTAAAGATTGTATCTTACAAACTTTTTTACTATGCAATATGACTCCTTAACAACACATTTGATGATGAGTAACAACCTTTTTTTCCAATCAGTCAAAAGTTAATACGAGCTTGATAAAAAAAAATGAGGTCGTCGTTATCGTTAAATGAATCAGATTATTATTTTAATTAAATGTAGACTCTTGAAATTAATTTTTGTTATTATTATTATTATTACACTTTTATTCTCCTAAACTGCAAACATTTCTTGTTTGATATATAGAAAATGCTGTAATAATAAACAAAGAAAAGAAAAAAAAATTAACTTTTACATGGAAAATTTTAGGAAAATTCTCCTCCTAAATTTAAAAATAAAATTTTTACTATTCAATGTTTTGAAAAAAAAAAATATTCAGATCATCAAAAATCATTTTTGTTTCATTTATTATTGGGTTGCAATTTGGAAAAGACCAATAAATTCCCACTGTCATCCGTCCATCTGTCTCCCTTTAATCTCGAGAACGGTATTAGATAAAGGAAATTCGAAACAAGATTTGAAAAAATTTGGGACAGGATGCCCCGATTAATTATAAAGGAACTTGCAGTCTAGAGCGTAAATTATGTGATTTCAATTCAAAATTTTCCCTGAAAGCAGTTCCCCTGACCGGTACAACTCTATTGTTAATTAAAGAAAAAGTATGATGTACAGGGGCACGCCACTACTAATTTGAGGTGGATAGCATATATTTTAAAATAAATAAATTAAAAATATTATTAAAAATTGCAGTCCGGCATTGTGACGATGTCACAATAAATAATTGCTCGTTTCATCTTCATTGTTATTTATTAAATACAGTAAATACTTTTCGTTATTTATTAACAAAAATTTAAAATGTCATCAGATATATCATTTATTTTTATGCAGCAAGAACATACCAACGGATATATATATGTTACTGTGAAAGACCGAAATTAGAGAATGTCGATATTCTCCGGTGAATGTCGACACATACAAAATACGTCGGTGAAAGACCGAATATTTGGTTATATTATTATACCTTCGAACAATCGCCGGTGTATGTCGACAAGCACAGATAAGCTTTGGTGGAGGTCGAAACGACACCCGAAAAGCCGATGTCGACAGAGAGGCGACAGTCTGTCGCCAAATCCTTTGTGGATAGTCGGAGGTAGGACAAGGTCGTACCTCTTTTTCCGGTAATGGTTTGGTGGAAATCGCCCACTCTTTCACTGCATGGAGTTTCTGTTCTTTTGATCCNGGCTTAACATCGATGAAAATTCGACGCGAAGTAGGTTAATAGTGATATACTAATTACATGGGATATAATAATATACTACACTAATAATAGATTTTTTCATACTTTTCGGTTATCCGACTTTTCAATTATCCGACCAACCCCAGTTCCCAATTGAATCGGATAATCGAGGCTCTACTGTAAATTAAATTTTTTTACATTTGAAATAATTATTTACTGATAGGCTACAGTTTTCATAAAAGTTATTTCTTAGGATTGATTCATTTTATATAAAATTAGGATAATATTAACACACTGTTCTTATTCATTTGCATGAGTCAAAATCCCTAGTGCTTATACATGGCAGGCGACTATTCAAAACCCAGCATTTAATTTTACTGTTGATTATTTTCACTACTCTATTTTCTTTTGTTTCAGCACAGTAATAACAATTGGTAGATAGCATTTAGTCAAAAAGTAAATACTAATAATTCAGAGCCACTATCACTAAATTATAAAAACAAATAATCATCATCAATAGAATTGCATTTTTTTGTTTTCAACGCATGCAATTTGAGCTGAACAAGATTATGCTTAAAGTAATAATATAGTGGCTAATTTTGGAAACTCAATTCTTTTCAAATATACAAATAAATATAGAGTATAAACATCCAAAAGTCTGATATTTTAGTAATAACTGCAGCATTAAATTGAGCTACTTAACCACTATTACTTTTAATTAAATTCTAAATAGTTTGGTGCTAGAGGTAGGCATTAAATTTAATAAGAGATGGCACCTAACGCCTACTTCTAGTACCAAATTATTTATAATTTAATTAAAATAGCAGCAGTACAGTAGCCTGATTTAATCCAGTAGTCATTTGGCATATATAAATATAGAGTTGTTAAACTGGAGTTTAGACTGAATTATCATGTTAAATTGTTTAAAACCCTAGGAATATCAATAAAAAATTGAATGATGTGTTTATTTAGGCTTGTAAACAGAACTGAACTAATGCACAAGATTTATATGCATTCAAAATCCCATTTTAAGTCTACAGAAGTTTTCTATTGTTATTCCTCAAGAACGCAATCTGATCGGAATTCCAAATAGATTATAATATTCACCAACCTGGACAATTTATTTATTAACTCCTCCTGCCCTGTGGGCACCAAGAGAACCTTTTATCAAACCCTTAACCACAAATATATTAACCTAATTATAGTTAATTTAATAATGTTTTATGATTTTTTTGTACAAAAGTCATAATCTGATTTTTTCAAATTTCCCTTGCTCTGATCTCCCAAAATATTTAAACTATGATCTTACTATATAAGTCTTTTGCATTTTGTACTGATATAATGTTAAGTTATTAATATATATGTTTATAATAAAAGTGTAATGTACAGATATAAATATACGATGAACCATAGTCTAATTTCTTATAGCCAAACACTATTTTTGGGCTAGAACTAAGCTAATTATTAATTCAATTATAAAATTTAATTAATAATTAGCTTAATTATAACCTTAAAATAATCCAGCTCAGAATATATGAAGTATATTTTACATTCCGTTAAAATATTTATGTACTAAATACTAGATGAATCAGTGGAAATATCAAAGAAATTTATACAAAACATCAAAATACACTTCAAAATCCCTTCACCATATTAAACTTTACACTATTTTCTTAATTTTTTTACAGGATATGACTTAACCTTTTAAACTTAATAATTCAAATAAATTAATAAATTATATCATGTGATCAAGTTTGCATGTTTTTATGTGGGAAGTGGTCGTTTGATTCCTCATTCATTCTACTTATTACACCTGACTGACTGAATGACCTACTTCTTTTTTGTATACGCTCCTCTCACATTGTTAATGATAACATCTAAAGGAGTAGCCTAATAAAAACAGGTCTTGTAGTGTGTCCTGAATAACATATCATTCTTCATATAACACTTATAATACTCAAGAATATTTATATTTTCATTGGTTTTTATCTCAGGGAATCACATTTACGGTGTTAACTTAATAATAAAGATTTCCCAATAAAAATTAGAGCAAATTATCATTATTTAAGAAGCCGAAAACTTACATCAGGATCCACTTCACTGCTAAGCTGCTCTAATTCTTCTGCCGTGAGCTTATCTAACAATTCATCAATATCGACATCCTCGTAATCCTTCAGATCTTTTCCGTATAATTTGGTCGTCATTATGCCTGTAATTTATCACATAAAAAACATTAACTTTATACTTAAAGAACAATCTAAATGGCTAAATTTAGTTCCAAAAAGTTTTTAATATTTGCATAAAATTAACTAATGTTAGATTTTTTTCAGCAAATCTTTAAAATAACTTATGATAATTTATCTTTTTAGAATTAAAAATTCAAAAAATCAATAAGTTATATCTTATATCAGAGGAAAAGAGTAAATAATATCAAATTACCAATGTTTTGAAAAAAAAATAATAATATACAGGAATGTACCACTTAACAAGAAAGATACATTCAGAGAAATATATCATTAAGTGAACATCAGAGTGTACTTAGATACAGTGTAGTCTACTACTCATGTATGCTATATCTAAAAATCGTAACACAATGATAAGCATTTTTAATATGTATCGGAACATATTTTAACAAAGAAAAAATACAAACAGCTATGAATTTTTCAATTCTATCGCAATCTTAAGAGTCCTCTGTCGCTAATTGGCGCACCTTATCTGTACTAAAATTTGCAAAATCTTACCAAGAAGTATATTAAAATAATTTTATGTTAAGGAAAATGTGTTCAGATGATCTTACAAAATAGTAAATTATATTAATAAATAAGCTTTTTACTCAGAGTGAAATGTATATTGAATAGAACCTTCAATTTTTACAAATTCATTGGTTTTTTTTTTTGTCACAATTAGTAAAGCAAATAAGAAAATTTCATAAAAATTTATATGTTTTTATCAATTTTTACTATTTTAAAATTTACTAATTACAATTACATGTTAATAATCTGAACTTTAACTCTTCACTTGTTATATGAACAATTATGAAAAATATTTTAAAATGTAGATAAAGTCATTATTTAAATAATCAAACTCTTAAAGAATAATCACAAAAATTAATTAACAAATTATGATGTAGCAATTTCCAGTATATTTTGATAATTAATTATTTTAATTAGCATTTAGTGAGCTCAAATTACTACAGAACGTATTCAACGTATTCAGTTTAATACTAACAGTTAGTATTAAACTGAATACGTTGAAATCAGTACAAATAAGTGAATAATTATGTATATGCCAACAGAGATTTAGACTCTTGATGTTTTAATTAATGGAACTTATTGTATAGCAATTAAATCTATTATATAACTTCTAAAATGTTCTTATTTAATAACATTGTTCAAAAAACAGATCAGTAGAACAATTTATCAACTTTTTAAGATAGAAAAAAAAAAACTCATTCGGAAGACAATAAATCCTTATTTTAAAAATAAATTAATCCCGATTTAAAATAGATCTTAATTAATTAATTAATATACATTTAAAAATTCTAAACTTTAATGTTTAATTTCAAGAATTGATTAGTTGCAGCATTAATCTGTACAAAGATATTATTTTTAGAATATTTCAATTTATCAGAACACTTAAATTATCAAAAATCTTTTTTTTTTTTTTTAAATTTATAAATCAACATTTATTGATTAAGAAAACGCATTTGGTTTATAGAGAGTAATGGTGTTACATTACAGACAATAAGAACATTTTAATCAGCTTCAAAATGAATAAATTTTGCATAGTTTTATATTACAGACCTTTTGACAGAACTTGATTAAATAATCTTAAGAAATGAAAAAAACTGAACAGTTTTATTTCAATAATTTAAGTAATAATAATCAAAGTCAACATTTAAAAATAATTTAATATTTAATTTATTATAATGTTAACAAATTCTATTAACAAAGCAAAAAATCGAATGTATATTATTGCGACATCGTCCCAATGCAGGCTACGATTTTTAATCACGTTTTAATTTTAAAAAATCATGCGACTTCTAGTTTAAACCAGAAATTTGTATATAGTTAATCAGGACCTCTGACCCCTGAGCTCTCCATATCTGGTCTCAATTTCCATCTATCTAACTCTGTTCTTGAGATTAAGGATAGATGACAGTGGTAATGTATAGGTCTGCAAGTTGAAAATTGCATCCCAATAAAGTTATAGAAATTAAGTCATATATATATATATAATATATATATTAATGACTCATAGTATTTAATTTGTATTTCTGGCATGCTTTATAAGTATATTTTTTAGTTAAAAAAATAAAGCAAAATAATTTGTGATATGTAATTTCATTGGATGTACTGTACCAGTAAATATTTAAAAAAACCCCTGCAATTTAAAAGTGGGTCATAATTATAAACCAAATCATCATCCTCTGCTGTTGCTGCTTATTCTAATACTGTAACTTATATCTTCTATCAGTTGCAGTAACTCTTGCAAATTATCATTTTATATATTACAAAATTCTGTTTTTAGATATCAAAGTATAAAGTTAATCTTATTTAAAGTATGTAAACATTTTTTTCCTATAATAATCTGCTTAATTTATTAATATAAAAAATAATTTAAGGAAAATTTGCAGTATATTATTTCGATTCCAAAAGTAATAAATATGAAGGAAAAAGATCATCATAAATATAACTCCAATAGGAAAACCACAGTAATATTTGAAATGTTCTTGATCCATATTCATGATAAATAGGTAAAATTAATTCATGAGGCTCAATGAACTCACAAAAGAAAAAATTCTTAACCATATTTTAAACTAAATCAAAATGACAACACATTTGCTTATGAGAAAAATATGTAATGATGTTATTAATATTTTATTGTCAAATATACTTTCAGATAAAATTTATTCTAACATTATATTATATATAATCTATTAAATGTTAGATTACTTATTGACTTCTATAAAAATATTCAAAAATCATTATAAAAACTGTAATTTCACTCAATGCTTAAATTACTTAACATTAAAGCATCATGATAAAATAATGCATAAAAAAATTGCTTTTAAATATAATTGAAAATGAAAATTATTTAATTTAGCATCGTTTATAATTAATAATATTTTTAATTATTATTAAACTCAAAAAGAATTTAAATTCTCTCTCAATTTTCATACTATAACTCAAAAATAAAATTAGTTTTTATCCAAATTCTAAGAATTCTATGTTTACTATAACTTATCTTTAAAATAAAATGTCATGATTATTATAAATTATATAAATTTTCCTACTAAACAAAAACACACATGCAAGAAAAGAATGATATGAGGATATTACTTCTAATTTTTATCAGTTTTCATAAACAAATTTATAAGGATTTAAGCCACATTAATAAAATAATCTAATATATTTAAAATTATTTATAAACAAACACTATAAAATCTTATCTTGACTTTTAATTCACCTGTCATTAAAGTCATTTGGATGCAGGCAGAAAAAAAAATCCAAATATCCTGATTCTAATCTCCAATATAATCATTGTAATAACTGCTTATTATATTCTTATATTATTGCTTCTCTGACTGTTGTTAGTTCTCAAAATAAATAGTTTATATGATGATAAATGATAATCTATATTTTATTTAATATATATTTTTTTATTCATTTCGTTTAATTCTTCAAGAGTCAGTTGATTTAACCTGTATGTATATGTATACACATATGTATGGTGGTACAGTATATATATATATATACACACATACATACATACATAAATATTTAAATTAACAATGAAGAATTTTCCTTTGTAGCTATGTTAAAATATACATATCATATCTAATCTTAAAAAAATAAATTATAGTATCAGCGTACAGTACTGTATGTCACATAATTTCTAATATTCGAATTAACTTAATATTTTAGAATTATTAATACATAAAGCTTAACCATTTATTTTATTCTGTAAAAAATAAAATAATGTAAATATTAAGGTATATTTAAATAAGCTTATCCTCTTAGAGTAGGAAAACTCAAATATTCAATATCAACAATATTTACACAACAAAATCTAAATATATTGCTATTAATATATGGCAATAAATGCAGAATTTCAACCTCTTCTACTCAAAAAATAAGTAGCATCATCGATTAATCAGACTATCAACCTACAAGCGAGCAATGACCCAAAGTCGGGGGACGTTCGGGTGTCGTTTATTTATTATTGCCGGCAAATGGCAAGTTTGCTAAGCTAAAAGTTGTAATATTACTTATGATGTTAATAATAGGATAACAGGAAATATGTTAAGTTCTCTGTATAGCCGAGTGTTAAGTGTTTGTATATATAGAACAGCAGCAAAAATATGAAGTGTATTATTCAGAAATTAATTAATAATTTTTATTTAAAAGTCAAACTAATGTATTGAAAAAGTGCACGTGGTGAAATTGATTAAAATGATGTGAAATTGACATTGAAATGTACATATTGTTTATTGTTTACAAATAAAGCGTAAAATTCGACTTCATCACATGAATAATTCATAAACATGAGCAAATGATCTACTACAACTTTAAAGTGAGGACATTCATTGATTAAAATGAAACCACGCCCTGCAGCACATCATGTACTTGTCAGCACGTTGGTAATAAACACGAAAATCTTGTTGAAAACGAATAATTACATCATTTGCGATAACAAATATTGCATATGCACTTAACAAATAACCTCGAATTAATAAAATTGTGTTACTCACCTATCGAAAATTGAAAAGTGGACCACAGGTGTGCCTCTCGCTCGATCGTCTACTTACAAGTCCGTTCGCTCCCCCTAGCGTCGTTAAATGGAAACACGGAGATACATCATTACTCAAGCCGATTAATTTTTGTTTCAATAATAATATTTATTTTTTCTTCTTAATAATATTAAACTAATAATTCTAAAGAAATTCTAATTGACGATATATTAATTGATTCAAAGTTTATTACGATAAATTAAAATTATAAATTACGTTCATTACATTAAAGTCGAAGCAAACGACGTTAAGCCTAAATTATGTGAATGTAAAATGATTTAAAATTTGACTAAAAATTTAAATAAATGGTCAAATTAATGCAATTTTTTTGTTTTATTAATAATAATACAAATTAATCCGATAATTATAACAAAAATTAGCATCATTCGAAATTTTTTCCAGGCAAATGGCCGCGTACTTGATTAAAACAAAAAATTGCTGAGAAAAAACATTTTATTTAATGAAAAAAATTGATTGTTTTCTGAAATGTTGTTTACGTGTAAAATTTATTTTTATTTGTCTCATCTAAACTACTTACAGTAAATTCATGTGCAATAGCATGCCCTCCGAAAATGTACAAAATAAAATAAGACACGCTTTAAGTTCTTAAAGAATTTTTATAAAAACAAGAAAGAAGCATACTTCAGTAGTCAGTTTTATCTTCAAATATTGTAATTTCCAGTTTTATGTTACATATTAAATTAAATATTTATGTTCAATATTCAAATTTTTATACAGGCAAATGGCGCCTGAATTTTATATTCAGTTTGCATGTATTATTTTATTTGCTATCAAATTTGTTTTCTTATTATATTTAACACTTTATATCAACTAAAATGATTATATTTTTATTTATATTTGTACCATTTTCAAGTAAGTTTTGATACCATTCACTAACGTTCTCGTATTTTTGGCAGTAGGATGAGATCGCCGCAACTTCATTAGACATCGAAACAACGTTAAAAATGATTGCAAAAAAATATAGAATCGCGTCAGTGAAGCTGCTCACATTGTTTCAGGTACAAAAAAGGGCATTAAGTTGTGTGCATCTCTGCTATGCGATGCGCTTGGATACGTCATTTTTAACTGCGGCGAATAACGTGCACCAGTTACGGATTACAAGCGTAGAAGATTGTGATGCACTCCAGTGATTTAGATTCACCCCAAAGAATATATATAATTTTAAATTTTATATCTTTTCAAGTACAAATTTTATCTTTATACAAGTTCTTTAACCACTCCCGTGTTTATCGT